TGAGTATTCATAACCCTCACATTAGTAATTTATGTTAAATTTTCACATTTGCACTTTCATCCCTTTTCCAAGCCCTAAATAATTACATGGCAGATTGCAGATTGTTTACAAGTAAATGTGCCATACATTCTGTTTTTAACACCTGAGAAACCTTGAAAAGTCCATGTTAACATACATTGTCAGTAAGTGAAAAATTGACATCCCAAAGGTTTAGTATTTAACCATACCTGAGAATCTGCCAAGCTGGTTCTTGGGATTGTGTCTTTGTCCACACTCTCTTCCAGCACCCAGAGTCTCACCTGTTCTTGCATGTCTTTGGGTGTCTCTTCTACTTTTCCCTGGTTCTCAGGATCACAGCTGAGCCCCAGCATCAGTCACATATGGGCACAGGGTAAGCCAGTGGCAATGTGCTGTTCTCACCCAGACTTCCCTCCTGGGCAGCAGCACTCCCTCACGTGATCTGGATCCTCCTGGTGTAGAATCTTAGTGGGCAGCAGCAGACATTGTGAAGTGACTGGAAGGAGCAGAAGTAGGACAGTCACAGAGTGGACAGTCTCACCACTGCCTGGAGGAAGACACACCTGATATGGTTGGCTAAACCCTAAAAGCCAATGGTTCTGTGTGGGGGCCTGAAGCTGCAGGGATCTCCCTTTTCCATGTCCCGCATGGAAAGAGAGATGAATGAACCGGTTCTAAGCGGAGGTGCCCAGGGATTGAGAAATATTAGAAATAAGGAGAAAAAACACATAGATTTCAAGCTGGGAGCTGGGAGGGCCTCAGACCTCCTTTGCTGGAGAGACTGATTGACAACCTCCTGAGCCACGCAGCACATCTATTTATACTCCAATCCAACAAGGGGTTTCACAGGAAAACAAGGAACCTGGGAGAGCCCAGCTTCCACCCACTCCTTCCTCCTGAACAAACACATTAGTCAGGAACTAAGAACATCTCCGCACTCCCAGGGCGGGAGTGCAACTGACATGATTCTGCCAATATTCCTGGACAAGTCAACAACAATCTATAGAATGTCCAGGTGTCTTCCCATTTGGCCCTCTGCAGTTCTCCATCGATTTGGTTCACAGGGAAGAAATGTAGGGCAGTATTTAAAAACATGGACATCAGGATCAATAGGTGCAGTTTGGAACCCCAGGGGTGCCAATTGCCAAATATGACCCTGGGTACGTGATCTGACTTCTAGGTGTCCCTGTCACCTTCACATGGGTGATAGTGCATATAAAACTTGTAGCTCAACACTGAATGAGGACAGTAAGTTACTCACAAGTGTCAGCTATTACTACTTAGAGTCATAAAGCTTTAGACTCAAGTGACCTTTAAGAAGTCAATTTCTAATTTTTATTAATAGGGAATCTGAGGGAAACTGAGAACGAGAAAGGAAGTAATTTGTCTGAGGGTGCATAGCAGATTTTCCTATTCCACAGGCCAGGATATTTGCTGTACCATAATCAGCCTTTCTAGAAACTCCTTGGTCACAGAGCTGCCTCTATTGTTTATGCTCCCTATATGAAAGGCCAAATGTTTGTAAGTTGTTTTTCCTCCTCAGTTGGTGGATTTATGCTGAGCCATTCTCTCACCTACCAGTTCGTAGGAAAACACAGAAAACTAGACAGGCTTAGGGATGCCAGAGATGGGCATGGGTCACAGCAGGTAAACAGCATCCACCGCAGCCTCACAAACACGGCTGTGGGCGATGAGGTAATCAGCTTCAGAGAGACTTGGGATAAAAAAACAAAAACACGGGGCCACCCTGACCACAGAATTCATCCCTCCAAATCCCTGCCAACCATCGATTGTTAGAAACAGGCCTTCATGTAGATTAAAAGGGCCTGTGCACAAGTAAATTTATTAAACTCAACTTTTGTCTTCATTCATCCAATCTGAACAACAATGAAAACAGTTTTAAAATATATTTTTTTTAAATTCTGAATTGATTGGAACAACAACAACAAAAAGATTATATGATTCACATGGTAGAGCTCTAGCCAGACTGCAAATTCTGAGGACCTCCTCTGAGTTCAGGAATCTTGGGGAATAAGAAAATCAAATGTTATTGATACTTTTTCTTCCATACACACACAGATGGCTCCTGAATATCCATGGGGAACCTAAAAAGAATTACTGACCTCAGACCTAGATTCAAGAGACTCATGCTAGATGCAACCTTGCCCTGGAGATCTGACTTAGAGCCTGCCTTGAGTTTGGGGGAGGCTTTCCGGAGGGCAGTGCTCACTGGTTTTAATCTGTCTTACCCCTCATTAATTCTCTTTATTCAGCTCACGTGTTTCCCCTCTTCATTGCTAGTCACCAAATCTCTCTGCAGACCTTTCCTTTGTATTTCAAACTTCAAAAGTTATCTAGAGCTAGACAGGTAAAGTGAAGGCTTGGGGCTTTGGATTTTTGTTTATAAATAAAACTTTTATTTATAGACTTTTTAACATTTTTTTATTGATTTCAGAGAGGAAGGGAGAAAGAGAGAGAGATAGAAACATCAATGATGATAGAGAGTATCATTGATTGGCTGTCTCCTGCACACCCCTTACTGGGTATTGAGCCTGCAATCCAGGCATGTGCCCTGACTGGGCATCGAACCACGACCTCCTGGTTCATAGATTGATGCTCAACCACTCAACCATGCAGCCAGGCTATTATAGACTTTTAAAAATGCCTTTTTAAGGACAGTCTTGGGATCATAGCCAATTGAGAAAGTACAGAGATTCCTATGGAGTCTGGGCCCCCACATATGCATAACTTCCCTCATTATCAACATCCCCCAAGTGGTAGAGGTTTTTCATTTTCCTTATTCACACTCTGAACTTCTTTACCTCTCCCTCCTAGTCACAAACTGGCAGCTCCCACAATAAACATTGAGGCATATCTTGTTTTCTCCTTCCATGTTTATTTCTGCCTCCAAGGTGTTCCTGTTTTTCATAAAACCATAGAAACATCTCCTCCCATCACACTCACACTACACACAAAAAACAGTTGGGAAAACATTTTAATTATTCCAAACCACAACACCACTTAACTACAGAGAAGGGAGCTTTAGAGACCCATTGAAGAAAACAAAAGGCTCACCTAAAACCTGAGGGGGTGACCACAGCCAGTCACTGCAAACCCTGAGCCAGAACCCAGACTCCAGACCTCCCAGCCCAGTCCTCTTTTTACTGTGGAGACACTTTTTAAATGTTCTCGCCTTCAGTGAATAACATCTGATAATTCAGTAGTGAAATACCTATGGAGGTGTGCATTGGGGAAGGTGGAGGGGGCATTGTCCTGGTCCCTCCTATAATGAGTTGATGCTCTAAATTTTAGAGTCTAAAACAAACTGCAGTGTGTGTGTGTGTGTGCGTGTGCGTGTGTGTGTGTGTGTGTGTGTAGGAGAGGGGGGAACCAGGCTGGTGTGTGTGTGTGTGTGTGTGTGTGTGTGTATAAATGGGGAACCAGGCTGGTATGTGTGTGGGTGTGTGTGTGTGTGTGTGTGTGTGTGTGTGTGTGTGTGTGTGTAAATGGGGCAACCAAGCTGGGGGTGTGTGTGGGTGTGTGTATGTGTTTGTGCAGGAGTGGGGGGAACCAGGCTGGTGCGTGTGTGTGTGTGTGTGTGTGTAAATGGGAGGACCAGGCTAGTATGTGTGTGTGGGTGTGTGTGTGTGTTTGTGTGTGTGTGCAGGGGTGGGGGACAGTAGACTGCATTTTCATGGCTATGATAATAAATTTAAGGACATATATATCAGTCTAGTTGAGATGTAGTAGAAAGCAGAGTGGGCTGAGAACCAAGAACTGGACATGCTGGTAACTTGCTGTGTGACTTTATGGAAATCATGTTTCCTTTCAGGGTTTCAGTTTCCCACTCTATAAAGTACTATAATATAATATAATACTATTTTTATTTATAATAATTTATAATAATAAAAAATTATATTGTAATATAATATAATATAATATAATATAATATAATATAATATAATATAATATAGCGTTCTGGGAGAGTCCTGGAAGGCAAGAGGGGGGTGGAGGGAGGGAAGGAGAAGGGGTAGGAAGCTGGACAAAAAGGGAGAGACAGGTGAGGGAGACGAAGGGAGGAGAGTAGAGATGGAGAATGCTTTTTAGTAAGTCAGTGAAAAAAAAAGTTGCAAATGGAAACTGTGGGTCTCATGAGGGCTTTTTTTTTTTTTTTTCAAGTTTTGCATGTTTAGTGTTTACACATACTTTGTCATTTGGGAGGAAATACAGATTGAATGAATGGCGAACTTGTGACGGCTAACTAGAGAAAAAAGAGCCAGGGGAGAAATGAGAGGGAGCAAGCACAGCTCGGGAGCACTAGGAATTCCCAATCCCACCCAGGAAGTCCTCACACCGCGCTGGACCCTTCAGCCCAGAGCACCTTGGCCAACGGGGCTGGAGCGCGGCCTCCCGCTTCCCCAGCGAGCCGCCCTGAAACCGCCAGGGGGCGCTGCGCCGCGGCCGGGCTGGGCGCGGGGCGGAGCTGCTTTAAATTGCGGCGCCCCGCAGGTTGGCGTCTCATTCCCTGAGCCTGGGAGTAGACACAGCTTCTCGCACTCGGACTCCAGCGCCAACACCCGGACTTGGACCCGGACCTAGAATTTCTCCAGCAGCGCCGCAAGGAGCAGGACTCCCCGCAGAAACTTCCCCCGCGCGGCTCCGCCACCCCCGGGAGCCCCGACGGAGCCTCTGCAAACTCCACCTGCTGCACCTGCCATCCCGGAGCCAGCCAGGGCGCCTGAGCGAGCCATGGCCAACGCGGGGCTGCAACTGCTGGGCTTCATCTTGGCCTTCCTGGGCTGGATCGGGGCCATCGCCAGCACAGCGATGCCTCAGTGGAAGGTTCACTCCTATGCGGGCGACAACATCGTGACAGCCCAGTCCATCTACGAGGGGCTGTGGATGTCCTGCGTGTCGCAGAGTACCGGGCAGATCCAATGCAAAGTTTTCGACTCCTTGCTGAACCTCAACAGTGAGTGCATTCCCCTCCCCCCACGGCTGGGATCCAAGCCCCCAGCCCCCAGAGCTTCCCTTCCATTCCGGGTAGAGGCCATCAGCTGATTCTGTTAGGTGATTACATGGTTGTCAGCCTTCAGTTGATCAAGTCTTCAGATCATGTTGAGAGGAAGTAGAAAGAGCTGCGCTTTGGGATAAGGGAGGTCCAGGACTAAGCTCTAGTTTTGCCTCTAATTCCCTGGGAAACACTTTTTCTCCTCCTCTAGGTGAGGCTTCATCTAAATTCTCATGAGAGTGGGTTGGAGATTGAGAGGTGAAGGCCAAACTCCAACCTGAGTTCTTAGGCCTCCCCTGGACATTCTGAGATTCTGTGTGAATTGGAGAGCGGTAGGGTGTGGACAAGAGAATAGTATGCCTTGAAAAGTTTGGAGCCCGGTAGTTTCTCATATTATTACATGGAGTGCCTCAACTTACGTTGAACTTGAAAGCTTTTTTTTCTTTTGATATTTAAGATGCAATAAGTGTATGGGGGCGCATTTGTGCCCCTTTTCATGACTTTTTAAAGAAGCCTCTTGAGATTCCCCTGAAGGTTTTCAAGTTGGGGATCTTCAGAGTAGCGGAGTTTGTAGGTTCTTCTGGAAAGTGAAGGTTACTCGTGGCAGGTAGGAAAAGGAAAGACAAAAAAGAAAAGTTCTGAATAAACTCCCATCATATTCTGAAGGGAAAGATGAAGATACTGAAGCAAAATGCCATTAAGGAGATACAGCAGAGGTCAGCTGCGGGGAGAATGCAGCACAAAAGAAGGGGTGGCTCTTCTCTCCAGGTTCCCACCTTCCGCAAAGGATGTTCTCTGTAATGGATGTTTGCTACTTACTTCTGTGGAAAGGTTCATGTAGAGAGAGATATTCCTAAGGATAGCGGGGAGAAAGAGGACAAAGACGGCTTTTTTCTTCTTATTATTATTACTTTTTAAATAAAGGCCTTTGAGTGCCTCTTCTGAAACTATTTAGATTCCCACTTGCCTAGGTAATCCCAGTTTATGGCTGGAGTAACTTCCTTGAGATATTACATTCGTTGTCATGTACAATAGCATGTGTCTGTTATGCCCTTGAACTACCTTGAAGAAAAGCTTCCTTAGTCTTTGCCTAGATAAACAAGCTTGCCCACTGGCCCCTTTATGGGCTGAGGGTGAGCGGTGACACCGCTCAAGTTTACTCCAGGTGCTTTGTTCACCTCCCTCATGTGGTTTTGTAAGAAGCCATATACTTGAGGGTTATTGAATTTGTTTAAATGTCTTGAACTCCTGTGGAATCTGGTTAGTCACTGTGGATGGTGGTTTTTGGTGTTGTCATTTTAGCTTTTCAAAGTCCCCATCTAGGACTTCTTTATGCCAAATATAACAAGTATATTAGGTATGCTCCTTTATATAATCACTGAATCTCCCCATGGAAAGATAAATATATGCAAGGAAATATTGTCAAGAATTTGGGGTGTCATATTGAGGCACTGGCAGATGGAGAAGGTTCTAAGGGCAATTCTAGAGAGATCTCTGATTCTTCTGATCAAAAGAGTTCATTTTCAAGGTGTTTAAATGGGTCTCTTTAACTTTCTTATATGGCCAATGGAATCAGATTGATTCGCATTGCAAATACTCAACCAGGTCATTCCTACCGATGATAACGTGGCAAAATGGTTTTTTTTTTTAATTATTATTATTATTAGTTACTAAAGCTATTACAGTTTTTGTGGAAGAATTAAACAATGTCCTCCTCGTCTCCCTACTACACATTTTGGAGATTTCTACCTATAAATATGTATGTTTAAACTCCAGGTCAGATTCCTATTTTCATTTTGGCTAAAGCCAGAGATTATTCAAGATGGGGCCGAGGCTTTTCTCTCAAAACCAATTCCCAGAAAAGGGAACCTTTGACTCATAGGCATTCTCCCCAACCTGCAAATGACTCATCGGATGCCTTTGGACGGAGTCCAGAGAACCTGTCTCCATTCCTCCACCTGGGCAGTGGTGCTCACACCCACCTTATGCAGAGACCTGGGTGATGATTCATTGACTGGTTTTGGTATAGTTCTGTCACTTCTGAATGTGAACAGGATTATCTGTGTGTATAAGTAGTCTTCCTTGTAAAAGATGGCATTCCTCGAAGTGCTTTTAGGTGAAAAGCTTGGCTAGAAGTTTCCTGAAATTGAACCTTGTTCTCTTTGTCAGTGGAGCCTACTTGACATCTTAGGGTTAAGATACAAGGATGTGTCAAGGCATTGTTCTCCTGCTCTAAATAGTGCCAGCTGTATAAAGAATAGTTCCAGCCGAAGCCGGTTTGGCTCAGTGGTAGAGTGTCAGTCTGCGAACTGAAGGGTCCCGGGTTCGATTCCGATCAAGGGCATGTGCATTGGTTGCGGGCACATCCCCGGTGGGGGGTGTGCAGGAGGCAGCTGGTCGATGTTTCTCTCTCATCGACGTTTCTGGCTCTCTATCTCTCTCCCTTCCTCTCTGTTAAAAATCAATAAAATATATTAAAAAAAAAAAAAAGAATAGTTCCAAAAGTGCCTAAAGAGATATAGTGTGCTCAAAACCATGTAGGAAATGAGACACAGGGTGTGTGTTTTATCTAGGTGGTTCTTGCAAAGCAGTTTATGAAAATGTACCTGAGGCCTTCCTGGGGAAACAAACGTTGCACTGTGCATTGTGGTTTTGCAATGGCAATTCCATCCAAGTACTTGGTATTTATTGTCATTGATGACTCCTGCAGCTGAAAGTTGGAATATACAAAAGAGAGTGGCAGATGCGGATGGAGTAGATTTTTTTTCTGGGCTACACTGTACATCTTGTCTTATTTTAACCCAGTTTTCAAACTTTTAGCAAGCTAGTGTCTAGTCTTGTGCTTAGTTAACTGCTGCTTCTTGCTTGGCTTTAATAGCTAGGGCTTTCCAAAGACTGGGATTCCCCAGGAGGCTGCATGGTAGGAGGTGTCTAAGCAGAGAAATAAGTAAGCGTTTTGTAAGAATGTTGTAGGCAAAATACAAGCACCAGACAAATGGGAGGTTAGACTAGACTCTCTTAAGTCACATCCAACTGTGGGATTCTGTAATTTGTTTATAAGCTCCTCTAACCTGCTCAACTTGCTTTGCATGAATCCACATGTGTGTAGGAGTGCTTAATGAGTATTGGTTGTCAGTGAGGTTGCCCAGTACTCTCACCATGATGTCAGGCTCGATCAAAGAGACAAAATCACTAATTTGGACAGACTTTGAAGCTTAGACAGAGAGAAAGGCACCCTTTACACTTCCCCATAGTATGGAGTATGCCTGCTGAACCGAGGGTGTTCAAGGAGTCATTGGTATTCAAATCTGTTCAAGAGTTTGATCTGACTCCTGGAATGAAAGATGTCAAAACAAAAATCCAGGCTTGAGATCAGAAGTTCTTAATCCTTTACCCTGGTTTTGTACTAACTAGTCATATGTTTAATGGTGAGCCACTTGGTCTCTCTGGGCTATAGTCTCCCCATTTATAAAATAGGGCAGTGTAGGGGGGATGGTGAGCTGAATCCATTGTTTATTCCTCTCTTCAACAAATGTGAGCTGTCTTGCTCCTGGGAATGCAACTAAGATGATATATAAGGTGCTAAAGTTGATTTCTTCCAGTGCCAACACTCTTTGTAACTAACTGTTGTGATTGAGGGGAAACGTTAAGTGGCACAGTTAAGTTTTCCTTGTTTGGGATGGTAAGTGGCATAGAGGAAATATAGACACATAAATGTAATTGTGAGGCAGTTACTTGAAGGAAGGAAAGAAGAAAGGAAGGAGGATGAGAGGAAGGGAGGGAATGATGGAAGAAGGAAGGGAGAGAGGGATGGAGGGAGGGATGGAGGGAGGGAAGAAAGGAGGGAGGGAGGGAAGGAAGGAGGGGAGAAAAGAAAAGAAAAAAGAAAAGAAAAGAAAAGAAAAGAAAAGAAAAGAAAAAGGGAAGGGGAAGGGAGGGGAGGGGAGGGGAGGGGAGGGGAGGGAAGGGAAGGGAAGGGAAGGCAAGGGAGCTAAAACTTGTTAGGACATTCCAAAAAGTGGTAAGTCCTGCCTCATTCCAGATCACTTCAGTTTCTGACTGTGCTGGTGTCCTGAGGTTACACCCAATGGCCACCAGCTCAGGCAACAATAAAATGGAAATGCTAATAAGGACTCCTTGAGAAACTTTGAACTTGAGTAAAAGGGAGATTTAACAAGTAAAAAGGCCAGGGAAGTATAGTTCTGTGATGAGATCATTTAATTGCAGAGACTAGAGCAGTTTTGCTCTAGTGACCCAATGTTCAGTTTATTGATTTCCCTATTACTTATTAAGCCACCACTGATGCAAAGAGGAACTATGTGAGAATGCAGATATACTTAAAATCTATGTTGTTTATGAAGTACACAGAGTAGCAATTTAATAATATGGCCAGTAAGTAGCATGAACAATGCCAGAAATTTAAAGAAGATTCTATTCCTTGTATAGTAAAACTTTAGAAAAATCTAAAAAAAAATATCACTTGGCTGTGCTTGTCTTTCTACACTTAATTTTCATCATCCTAACTATAGTGGATCAGTCATTTCTAACTAATTTCTTGTCTTGTAAGTAGAAGTCTTTTGAAGTATTATTTTTCAGATCATACTTTCAAGTTACAAGTAGTAAGAACTTCATAGAGAGTCTTTAATCTCAAGATTATCAGTCTAGCTGAGTATAATTAAAAGACTGCCTTCTCCGTGTATTGCTGAATAGTGATGAGAAACAATGGTTTAGCTTCTCAAATGTTTGCAAACATTTTCTCTGCAGACAACTTTAGTCCATTATAATAGTATTATAGAGGTATCTACCAATTTAAAGGGCCAAGAAAAGAACACATTTGCTTTTAGATTTGATTTAATCAGACCAGATCAGAGTTAGTAGTCCAAAACTATACTGTACCTCCCTAACCCAAATTTTTATTTTGTACCTTTTAAACATTTTTCAATTTCTCTGTCCTGCTGATCATCATTCCACTAAGAAGAAAAAAAAAAACTTCCTTGGAAGATCATAAAATTTGTAAAATTAAAACAAATCAGATTAAGCAAAAAGTATGAATTTTTCCTCCCTGTATGAGTTATTAGCTTTTAATGTTCTAAACTAAGTCTGGTTTTATACAGTATGATTTTAGCATCCCTGGCTCTCTAAGGAGGCATTTCTCAGGATTTTTTTCCAAAGGTTAAGCTTAACACAAGATAGTATTTTTTAATGATTTTATTAGTAGAATTTTAAAGGATAAAGACATGTTCTAATTTAAATTCATTGAACACACATAGCATAATCTATATAGTTTGTCAGGTACCAGTTTTAGTGCTTTGGGTGGGAACATGAACAAATATCTGATCCAAGTCTTCAAGGAGCTCACAATTATATATTATGGGTATCTGACTTAGAAGACTTCCATGGATATTAATTTGAAGAATTCTTCTGGTTCCAGCTTAAAACTGTGCAATTTAGATTCTATCTGTGCATAAAACCTTCCTAACTTCTAACACACTTGCTCACCTTGATTTTTAAACCACTATTATATACACTCAGTATGATTGTCAGCCTTTTTCATTTTTATTTTTACATCCCTCCCCCCACCACCATCATGATAGTTAAGAATTAATCCAAATGTCTACAATGAAGCAAAATGAGATTTTATGTTTGATGTCTATCTAGTATTGTAAAATATAAAGAAATATCCTAGGTCAATGGATGCCAAGGTCATAAATTGAAAAAAAAATACTGCTTTGCAAAATAGCACTATTGCTTTATCAGATTTTTAAAAAAATGAAACATGAATCTCTTGCTCTGTAAGGTTTAGATAAGTCTTAACTACAGTTTTTTCCTCCTTTATTTTTGTGCATTATACAAGCAAGCCATTATTCTATAAAGAAAAAATAAAACATACTAGGCTTTGTCCCCTCCTGCAGAGAAACTTTGTAAAATAAGTGGAAGAGTAAAATGGGTATGGCATGAATCAAATGTGTGTTTGTAGGGTCGGGTCAGGGGGGAGGATGAGAATTTAAAGGGGATGAAATCTAGCAATGAAAATTGTGAATCTTAGATCATTCCAGGTGAGTGCAAAGGGAGCTTTGAAGTAGTGTATCCATGTGTGCTCCCTGCCTGCATGACTTTATCCAGACCTGACTCATGAGACTGAGGCCCATAGACTCCTCGTGAAGAACACCTTGTGATCCAAGTGCTCAGACTTGCCAGACTGGTGGCCTGCTGCTTTTACGTGAAACACACACCAGAATGATTATTATGGAAGCTGGGTTTGGTTGGAGGCCCTGCAGCTCCAACAAAGTGGAAAGCTTGGAGAGAGATCAAAGAAAGAAACAAAAGTGATGAATAAAGAGTCAGGAAATGGAGTATTCATAAAAAAACAAAGTGAAGGTGGCTGAGAAGTGTAGGAGCCTATGCATATTTGAAGGGCTAGCATAGGAAAAATGTTGGCTGTGCCCTCTATACCAAGGGTAAGTATCTCATCACCCCTTCTTTAAGACCCTCCAGTGACTTTTTGTTACACTTAGAATCAACTCCAAACACTTTACCCTAACTTGCAAAGCCCTGCCTGACTTACATCTCTGCTCACTTTGCTAAACCCACCTCATTTTACTTTCCACATCCTATCACCCGCCAGGAGAGTGACCAGCTGTCCCTGTTGGTGCAGGATTGAGGGTCTTTCCTAGATATGGGACAGGTAGTTTTATTTTTATTTTTAATTTTTTTTTTTATTGACAGTATTAGAGATGTCCTCCATTTCTCCCTTTTGGCCCCATCCACCCAGTCCCTGCCCCACCCAGGCCTTCACCAAACTATTGTCCATGTAGCACAAGTAGTTTTAAAACCAAGATAGACCCTAGGTCACCCTATCCTGGCATGTGGATCATCTCCTCTGTCAATATTCCTTTGCTTTAAATGATTGCCTTCTGAGTGGAATTTGAAATCTGTGTTGTGTACAAGAGCTTAGATGTTGTATTTTCATTTTCCTTCTTAGTAATGATTGATTGTCTTTGCAAAAACATTTGGTAAATTAGAAGGAAAGACACACCCAATAGTGGAGTCCTTGGTACTTTCCTCTTCCACCACTGTGGAATATGTATTTTGATTCAGCAGCTCTTATACCACACTGGAATCTTAAGATAAGTGTATAGGTAGGGTGCATGTATACCCACACACACTTATAAAGGGGAGTGTCTCTGGTTTGCCTTTTACTTAAATCAAACAAAAATGTATTTTGGCTTCCAAAATATCTCTCAAATACAGGAAAAAAAAAACATTTGCTACTTCTTAGATAGAGGTTACTATGATTTTATCAGAGTTTGGTTATGGCTGGAATGAAAATATAAAAGAAATAAAAATTGAATGATGTTTTAGATCTTAGTGTTAATTAGGATTGGTAATTCAAGGTCTCAGCTCTGAAAATACTAAGACTGAGCCTAGGTCTCAATTAGACAGTGAGATATAGAACCTTTCTATCATGTCAGCTACTTTTGAAGAGCATCAAGAGGTCAACTAGCCAGTTTTGCTCAGTGGATAGAGCACTGGCCTGTGGACTGAAGGGTCCGCGTTCAACTCTGGCCAAGGGCATTTGCCCAGGTTGTGGGCTTGATCCCCAGAGAGGGGCATGTAGGAGGCAGCCAATCAATGATTCTCTCTCATCATTGATGTTTCTATCTCTCTCTCCCTCCTTCCCACTCTGCCATAAAAATATATATTTTTAAAAAAATAAGTCAATTGTTCCAACTCTCTGATAAGAGATACCATCATTCACACTTTACATAATAGAATCATGGTCCCAAAGAATAATAAGTAGCTTACTGAAGATAGCATGGTTTGGTTTGATGTAAATAGTATTTATATATGCAGAAATACTTATCACATGTAAGTCCTGCCAGTGAGATAATGATCTTTATATGAAGGAGGAAGTAAATCTAGAATTAATCAAACTCATCTCACCAGCATAGCTTCACCTTGTTTTCTTTAAGTTTGTGCCTTTATGCCACAATGATGGTGTCATGATTTTACCCTTTAGGAAACATACTGGCAAAACCTCTGAACCCTGTCCCCATCTGTGTGATCATGACTTAACTTAGCAATGACAATAACAGGAAATCAGAAAATGAATGGAACCCTGAGAAATGTTACCTTGAATTATTGTCTGCTATTTGACTACATGACAATGGACATAGTCACGGTGACAGCTCTGAATATGAATCCACTATGTTCTAAAGTAACATGGGAAAGGTTATTTAGTTTTGTTCAAAAAAAATGACACTCATATTTCCCATCCTCACCTCAGCCACTTGAGATACAAATGCTGTTTATTCAGCCATGATAATCAAAGAAAAATTCATTTCTTATCTTCCCAACTCACCTGTCTTTTCTGAAGTCTGATGGCAGGGGTATAAAGCTGTTGACTACAATCCAAGATATATTAATGTTATAAATGGTTTAACATTAAGGATAAAACATGATTGTATTTCAGAATTAAAATACTCCATTAGTAAGGATTAAAGATGTATTAGATCTGCTAACCCTATTCAACCAGATCATTCATTTTCCAGAGGAATTTGAATTTAATGTTGAAAACATAAAAGGTTAGAGCCTAAGGGTTTCTTATCCATTATCCAGCCGGTTGTTTGGTTTTCTGGA